AGTGGCTAGCGTAGCTCTCTGCTGCCCCCTATTGGACTCCTGACTGGAGTTGAAAAGAGATGGGAGGATCACAGTGCCGGATGGCGGAACTTGAGTTCATTCACAAATCCACAAGAGTGGACACACCCACACCGACCCAACCGGTCTGAATAAGGACGCAGGATTCTTGTCTCTCTCCAGAGACTACTTTTTCTCCCCTGAAGCAGTTCTCCCCTGCTCCAGTTGAGCCGGTTGCATTTTTTGCATTCTACCTCTGCATTCCCCGAGGTCCTTCTTTGCAACACCCCCTCCCACCCTTCAGACTGGGATATAAGGACGCAGCTGCTGGCGTGACCACCATTCACGCAGCTACTGGCGTGACCACGGGTCAGTCACAAGTTCTCTCAGAGCTGTTATCTCAAGGGCAGTTCTCGAGAGAGCTCTCTCAGCCCCACCTCCCCTCACAGGGTGTCTGTTCTGGGGAAGGGAAAGGAGATTGTAAGCGTCTCTGAGACTCCTTTGGGTAGTGTAAAGTGGGATATAAATCCAATCTCTTCTTGTATCTGATGAAGGGAGCTCTGATTCTCGAAAGCTTATACCCCAAAAAATCTTCTTGCTCTCTACGGAGCTCCGGGAGACGACTGGCTTTTCTGGAGATGCCATCCTGCATTGTTGGGTCTCTGCAATAAAGGGAGTCCTGGCCAGCATACCCCTTTGTTTCTTAAGGGGCAAAGACCTCCTCTTCCTTCTCCTAACTACAGTGTAGCAGACTGAAATACAGGTCCTGTGATTGCCGTATTTCCTTTCTCCCTTCTGGAGAAAAATATCCCCTCTTGCCTGATATGCAGCTGCCGGTGGGGGAGCTAACAAGGTTCGTACAAAGATGGCAACAATCAGCCGGGGTCTCCCGGGTCCAGAGTCCATCCTCCTCCTCTTTTCCTGTTGTTTGTAGCACAGCTGGGCCCGGAGGCATTTAATCGGGAAGCCCGGGCTTGTTTTCCCAGCGGCTCAGCTGGAGAAGCCGGTTCCTGTCGAGAGAGCGGCTGTGAGTCACCGAAAAGGCGGTTTCGCTGCGTGCCGCCGCTTCCCCTGCTCAAGGCAGGAGCGCTGGGAATGAAGCCGCAGGAGCCTGCTGCTCTTGCCTGCCTCTGCGGGGGGGGGGGGGGGGGGGGGTTGGACTAGATGACCTGCAAGGTCCCTTCCAACTCTAACATTCTATGATTCTATCTGATCATCTCTGTTGTTATCTCTTCAGAAAACCCTTGAGATGTAGGATTTAAGACTTCCTACAGGAAATATTGACAGTAGTTTTAGAGTCCTAGCCTGGAAGAGGCCATCTAGTCCAACCTCTTTGGCTCAATGCAGGAAATCTAAACCTAGAGCCAGACAATTATGATTCCAGAGATTCTGCTATTGCCTTTGTGGATGAATGTGAATGCTGCTTTGTAACCTTTCTGTGTGTGCCTCCTTGCTTTGTTCAACCTGTACATTTACAAATAAATTGATTCTGTAGAAACTTCATACATTTTCACCTGTCTCTTCCCTTCCAAAGAAACTGATTCTGTAAATTGTTATGAAACTTCCCATGAGGCATGGGGAACCCTAAATAATATCTATTTCCCCTCTGCTTAGTAAGATTGTGTGTCGGCCCTGGTTCGTACTTGGATGGGAGACCACCAAGCAGGGCTGTAGCCAGGATTTTTTGGTTTGTCGGGCAATTTTTTTCCTTGTCAGGTGCGCGCGCACGCACGCACGCACACACATCCTTCAGCCAGAATAAACAACGCATCCTCCGTCCCCAAAAAGTTTGGCACGGTGTGGGAATGCCGCAGGCCCCTGGGCTATTCGGGTCAGGGCAAGGGAATCAAAGGGTTTAGACTGGGTTAAATCTGTCCTGAACTGGACGGCCCAGGCTAGCCCGGTGTTGTTGGATTTCAGAAGCTAAGCAGGCTCGGCCCTGGTTCGTACTTGGATGGGAGACCACCAAGCAGGGCTGTAGCCAGGATTTTTTGGTTTGTCGGGCAATTTTTTTCCTAGGCAATGGCAAACCACTTCTGAACGCCTCCTGCCTTGAAGAAACCCTGCGGGGTTACCATAAGTCCGCTGTGACTCGACGACATTTCCCAACACCTCCAGACCTGCAGAGGAGCCCGCTGATCGGAGATGTCCTACGTCAGTCATTTTCTTGCCAGTACTTAATCCCAGCTTCAATAGCTCCTTCCTCCTCAGGCTTTCCCCGGATTTATTTATTTATTTGCATTTTTACCCCGCCCTCCCCGCAAACTGGGATAAACTGGTTGAATGGTGGTTACGAAGTAGTTGCTCAGAATCGGGGAACTATTTGTGGTATTCTGTTTAACTCGAGTTGCCCTTGACCGCTTAGAACCGCTGTGGAATAGCGGCTCAGCCGGCGTGAAGCACGTGCTCCGCAGCAGTGCAGAGTTTCTCTGACTCTCACTGCAGCCGGCGTAACCTTGTGGCTTTCTCTCCTTGTTCTAGGCAAAGACAAAGACTCTTCCGCAGCTCTGTATAAGCGAGGCGGTCTGTTGGGCAAAGGCGGCTTTGGCACTGTTTACGCCGGCCAGAGAATCGCGGATGGATTGCAGGTGAGAAGCCGTGACGGAGGTGGTCGCGGGTCCCCAGATTTTAATTTACCCTTACGCTCGGCTTTACTCGGGGAAATCAGTGCGCTCTCAGTGTTTTGGCTCCCGCCTGTGGCAAGAGGGTTTTTGGAGTGGCTGATGCCTGAAATGCCCCAATGATCGCTCAAAAATTGAACCACGAGTTCAGATCGGGGGACTCGGTAATGAGGCCCATGGCTGCCTAGTGACAGCGAAGAGGAGAAGTTGGGGGGGGGGGAGCCATCAAGTCAGTGCTGGGGTTGCCAAGCCTCCAGGGGGGACCTGGAGATCTTCCAGAATGACAACTAACCTTCAGACAACAGAGTTCAGTTCCCCTGGAGAAGATGGCTGATTCGGAGGGTGGACTCTGCGGCATTGTACCCTACTGAGGTCCTTCCCAAGGCTGCACCCCCCAAAAAAATCTCCAGGAATTCCCCAACCCAGAGTTGGTAACCCTAAGCCAGGGGAGCTTAAGAAAGGAGAGGATAGAGCCGGGAGCTGGCCCAGAAGGGGGAGGCAAAATGGGAAGCCACCCCCTTGACACTTAGCAAGAAGGGGAAGGCGGAAAGGGCTGGACGGAGCGGCAGGTGGGCAAGGGTGAGGGGAGGGTTCCCAGATCCTCCCTCCCTCCCGGCCACCGCCAGAGGATGGGGGGCATAAGGTTGCCAGATCCAGGTTGGGGAACTCCTGGAGATTTGGGGGTGGAGCCTGGGGAGGACAGGAACCTCAGTGGGATACAATGCCACAGAGTCCACCCTCCCAAGCATCCATTTTCTCCAGGGGGAACTGATCTCTGCAGTCTGGAGATGAGCTGGAATTCCAGGGGATCCCCAGGTCCCACCTGGAGGGTTGGCATCCCTAGCTGAGGGTCCTGTGTCGGTTTGACTGGCCGTCTCGAATCTCCAGACTCTGGCCTTGAATCGTCGTATCAAGGAGGGCATTTTGTCCGGGCCCTTTCTGGCAACGTTCCCTCTTCCGCACAACCAGTGAAAAGCGTCGGAAGGCCAGCTTTTCTGTGGGCGTGGCTTCCCTGCGCCCAGGCCTTTTGAGGCACCCGCTTGCGTTCTGATGCCTGCCCTGACGCTGTTTTGCCAGGCCCGTGTCGGGTGTGTTCCGTGACGAGATTGGGGTGGGCCAGGAAGGCGAGAGGAGATCTCTGGGTGCTTTTTGTAGTAGGGGACCCGACTCTCATCCGTGCCTTTCTCCCTCCGCAGGTGGCGATCAAGCACGTGGCCAGGAGCAAAGTGGCCGAGTGGGCGCAGCTGGTGAGTTTGAAGAGCATCTCCAGATACGTGTGTCTGTGTGTGTGTTTCCGTCTCCACGAGCCAGGTGGCCACTGGGGGTTAGCCAGAGCCTTGAGGGTGTTGCGATGAGGAGACTTAGGGTGAAATAGCAATACAGGCTTCCACCGAAAGGGGAACTTCATCGTCCCCAAGTCTAGTAAAGCAAAAAGTGTGACATCTCTGCACCGAGAGCTTTCTTTCCCTCCAGTACCGATCTGAGGGTCATCGCCTGCTGCCTGCTGGAGTGGGCGAGACTCAGTGTGATGATGTCACTGTGCAAAGTATGATGATGTCAGAGTGTGCACACTTGAGAGCAGAGATTGGAAGAGGGTGCGGGCAACCTTTCTGTACTCTGAGCAGCCACATTTTCTTGCTATCATCTGTTTTATGTACACATTGACGTGGGGGCTCGAAGGGCCGTCGGGTCCCTTCCAGTGTTCCCTCTAAGCTGAGTCAGTGTGAGCTAGCTCACAGTTTTTTAGCCTCCGGCTCACACATTTTTGTCTTAGCTCAGGAAGGGCGGCTCCAGAGCAAACTAATATATGCAGCATCCAAATCGCTCGCTCACCACTTTAACGCCAGGAGCTCACAAAGTAGAATTTTTGCTCACAATGCTCCAGAGCTTAGAGAGAGCATTGGTCCCTTCTGACTTACGGCAGCCCTATGGATCGATGACCCCCAAAACATCCTCCCGTTCACGACCTCACTTCGGTCTTGCAGACTTGTTTGATATAGTCAGTCCGTCTCATGTTGGGTCTTCCTCTTTTCCTGCCGCCTTCGACTTTTCCTAGGACCCCGTAGCTACAGTGGGGTGTTTGGGCCCCCAGCCCCCTTAATTAAAAGCCCCACCCCACAAATAGCCATGCCAGAAACCTTATTTTGGGGGAGTATTTTTTGGTATTTTTAAAGTGTGTGTGTGTGTAGAAACCTTATTTTTAAGGAGACACACACGCATGCACACCCTGCAGGCAGCAGCACTGTGGCCAGTTTGGTGTAGTGGTTAAGTGCGCGGACTCTCATCTGGGAGAACCGGGTTTGATTCCCCACTCCTCCACTTGCAGCTGCTGGATGACCTTGGGCAAGCCATAGTTCTGGCACAGCTGTTCTCGAAAAAGAGCACTTTCTGTCAGAGCTCTCTCAGCCCCACCTACCTCACAGGGTTTCCGCGTCTGAGACACCTTCGGGTAGTGAAGGGTGGGGCATAAATCCAATCTCTTCTTCTTTTACCTCACAGGGTGTCTGTTGTGGGGAGGGGAAGGGAAAGGAGTTTGTAAGCCGCTCTGGTCCGGGACCAGAGTTCCCTCTAAGCTGAGTTCGTGTGAGCTAGCTCACAGTTTTTTAGCCTCCGGCTCACACATTTTTGTCTCAGCTCGGGGAGGATGACTCCAGAACAAACTCATTGATGCAGGAGCCAAATCACTCGCTCACAACTTTCATGCCAGTAGCTCACCAAGTAGACTTTTTGGTCACAGCTTAGAGGGAACATTGTCCGGGACCCAAGTTAAAACATGAAATGGCTGAGCGATGAAGAGAGTCTGGTGAAGCAAGCTATGATGCAGCAGCAGAAGTGGAAGCAGGAGATGGCCAGTTCCACTGCGGGCCTGATGGAAGATCTCCGGGGGCCTCATCTGGCCCCCAGACCGCATGTTTGACACCCCTGACCTAGGTTGTAGCCAGCGGGACCGGGCTAGCAGAAAGGGGGATTGTTGGAGATGCATTGAAGGTGCCACTCTTGAGTGCCCTTCTAAGATTTCTTGCCCTGTAGAAGGGAACTCAGAAGGCCTTTACATGCCTTCCGAAGGCCATTAAATGCCCTCTGACCTGTTTTTTTCCTAGGGACTGACACACTTGCTGCCCCGTCCCTTGAAAGGAAGGGCTAGAAACTGGCTGGGAGCCCCTCCCCTTTTAGAGACAGGCATTCAGATTAATGTAATTAACTGTAATTTAACTTCCCCCTTAAACATTTAAATGTCCCCCAAACAAAGTCCTGGCTGTTTTCTTCTTGCCAGCTTTCTTCATTCTCCAACTGTCACATCCATGCATAGTAACGGGGGGGGGGATACCACGGCATGAAGTAGCTGGATCCCGAGCACCATTTGTACTTTATTTTATACTCCGCCTTTCCCCCCAGATGGGATGCAAAGTGGCTCGCCTCCTTCTCCCCTTCCTTGGTTTTTAGCCTCACGACAATCCTGGGAGGTGTGTGTATGTGTGTGACTGGCCCAAGGCCACCCGGCGGGCTTCCAAAGCAGAGGGAGGACTCGAACCTGGATCTCCCACATCCCAATCCCAACACTCCGATCATTACACCGCCCTGGCTGCTGAATGGAGCAGAACTTGGGAGCACACGAAAGCAGCCTTACACCGAATCAGACCGCTGGTCTGTCAAAGTCAATATTGTCTAGTGGGTCTCCAGGTTCTCGGGCTGAGGTCTTTTGCATCACCTCCTGCCTTTTAACTGGAGATAGTAAAACAGTAAATCACCGTGTGCAATGAAACAATATTTGTTGGTTTTTATATGCAATGTTTAGAATTCAATCATTAACAAAATTACAACAATAACACTACGATATGCAATATAAAGCTTAGCAGTACATACAGAGTAATACAGTACTAGTTACAAACGACGGAGTTCTAGTACACTATCCGTTTGCGTGTCCTTCTTCAGGCTTGTCATTCTGTAATTATTTCTTCATTAGAATGAAGTGCTGCAAGCTGCAATGGAGTGTAACATGCTTAATAACCAAAAACATAAAAATTACTCTAATATACAGAGGAGCATTTTACATTTTATAAACTCACCCATATTTCAAAATGCTAATTCTTCTAATGGAGATGGCAGGGATCGAACCCAGGACCTTCTGCATGCCAAGCAGACGGTTTGCCACTGAGCCAGCACTCCTGCCACCCGGGAAATGGCTCATGTTTGTCTCCCTGCTAGACCAACAGCACATCTTCCTCCTGGATTTTTGTGTCTGGCTCCATGCTGACCCGGTATCCCTGAACCACTTGCGCTAATTATTCTCTTTCCCCCTTTTGTCCTTCCCTTGCAGCCGAACGGGACGGTGGCGCCCCTAGAAGTGGTATTGACCAGCCTGGTTTGCGCAGGCAACGGCCACCGTGGCGTCATCCGGCTCTTGGATTGGTACGAGACGCCGGAAGGCTTCTTCCTGGTCCTGGAGAGGCCCGAACACTGCCAGGACCTCTTCGACTACGTGACTGAGCACGGGCCCCTACCCGAGAAGCTCTCCCGCCACTTCTTCCGCCAGGTGGTGGAAGCCGTCGGCCACTGCCATGCCCAGGGGGTGGTTCACCGGGACATCAAGGACGAGAACATCTTGGTGGACGTCCGCACCGGCAGCCTCAAGTTGATCGACTTCGGGTCGGGGGCCTTGCTGAGAGAGTCTGTCTACACAGAGTTTGATGGTGAGGCTCAGGACCGTTCTGGATTGGGGGGGAGGGCGCTGAAGGATCGCAGCTCCAGCAGCAGGGAGGTGGGGCAGCTGAGAGCCGGCGTGGACAAGTAGCTGGCACGGTCTGGATGCAGTGGGTGAGATCCTGGTCTATAGTGTCGCTCAGGGGTCCCCGACACGGTGCCCTTGGGCGCCACGGCACCCGCCGACACCGTTCCCAGCGGCCTGCCAAGTGTTTTTAGAAAGCGAGCCGGGGCAGTGACATTTTTGACCAGCAGGGCTTCTGACTGGTTAAGCCAATAAAAGGACATCCTGTTAAACACAGCCTCTCCCCAAAATGTTGAAGAGCAACTATTAGAGTTATGGCCGCCCGGCAGGGCTCTTTTTGTAGCAGGAACTCCTTTGCATATTAAGCCGCATTCCCCTAATGTAGCCAATCCTCCAAGAGCTTACAGAGCTCTTGGACGTCCGCACCGGCAGCCTCAAGTTGATCGACTTCGGGTCGGGGGCCTTGCTGAGAGAGTCTGTCTACACAGAGTTTGATGGTGAGGCTCAGGACCGTTCTGGATTGGGGGGGAGGGCGCTGAAGGATCGCAGCTCCAGCAGCAGGGAGGTGGGGCAGCTGAGAGCCGGCGTGGACAAGTAGCTGGCACGGTCTGGATGCAGTGGGGGAGATCCTGGGCTATAGTGTCGCTCAGGGGTCCCCGACACGGTGCCCGCCAAGTGTTTTTAGAAAGCGAGCGGGGGCAGCCATCCCAGAGGTTGTTTCAATGCAGAAGACAAACAGAGGTGGTTTGCCCTTGCCTGCCTCTGTGCAGCAGCCCTGGGCTTCCATGGTGGACTCCCCTCCGAGGACTAACCAAGACGCACCTTCCTTATCTTTGGGGATCTGCCCAGATTGGGCCAGCCTGGGTCGTCCCAAGCCAGGGCAGAAATTTAGCTTCCCGTAGACGTCTCCTTTTAAAGCGCTGCTCGTATCCTTCAGACGTTTTCAATGTCTGCGGTGGCTCAGGTGGTTAAGACGCTGAACTGCAGGCTGTGGAAGGTCGGTAGTTCAGCAGTTCGAGACCCAGGTTGCCATGTGGCGGAGTGAGCCCCCGTCTCTAGTTCCAGCTCCTGCCAACCTAGCAGTTCGAAAGCAAGAAATTGCAAGTAGATAAATAGGTACTACTTTGGTGGGAAGGTAACAGCGTTCCGTGCACCTTGGTGTTTAGTCATGCCGGCCACATGACCACGGAAACGTCTTCGGACAGCGCTGGCTCTTCGGCTATGAAACGGAGATGAGCACCGCAACCCTAGAGTCGGACTCGACTGGCTTTCGAGCAAGGGAACCTTTACCTTTAGACTTCTCCTTTTAAAGCGTTGCTTGTATCCTTCAGATGTTTTAAATGATCCAGGCCAGTCGGAAAGCACTACGATCTCACACTGAACTTTCCCTCTGTCTCTCTTTCAGGCACGCGTGTCTACAGCCCGCCCGAGTGGGTGGCATTCCAGCAGTATCACGCCCTTCCAGCGGCCATCTGGTCACTGGGAGTCCTGCTGTATGACCTGGTGTGCGGAGACATCCCCTTTGAGCGGGACGAGGAGATCACGAAAGCCAGCGTCAAGTTCCATGTGCCTGTCTCTGCTGGTGAGAGCCCTTCTGACTCACCCTGCGCGGACTCATAGAAATTAAAAGAGCAGAGTTCGAGTCCAGCGGCACCTTTAAGACCAACGAAGTTTTATTTTGGGTGTAAGCTTTTGTGGGCATGCACGCTTCTACAGGGGAAGGGAAAGGAGTTTGTAAACCGCTCTGAGACTCCAAGTGAAGGGCGGGGTATAAATCCAATCTCTTCTTCTTCTTCTTCTACAGCGAAACAGAAGTCACCATATAGAGCCAGTTTGGTGTAGTGTTTAGGAGCGCGGGCTCTAATCTGGGAGAACTGGGTTTGATTCCCCACGCCTCCACGTGCAGCTGCTGGTCTGACTTTGGGTCAGTTACAAGTTCTTTCAGAGCTGTTCTCTCACAAGCAGTTCTCGAAGGAGCTCTCTCAGCCCCACCTGTGCCTCAGGGTGTGTGTTGTGGGGAAGGGAAAGGAAATGGTAAACTGTTCTGAGACTCTGAGTGAAGAGGTGGGGTATAAATCCAATCTCCTCCTCCTCCTCTTCCTGGTTTGAATGCGGCTCAGGAGGAGGTGGAGATGGAGATGATTGGATTTATACCCCACCTCTTCACTCAGAGTCTCAGAACGGCTTCTTCTTCTTCTTCGAGGGTGGGGAGGGTAGTTGCTGGGAAGGGCTCATTAGAGTCAAGACTGCAGAAGTAACTGAGCAATAGATACAGCTAAGATTGGATTAAGGCAACTGGTAATTGCCTTAATCTGATCTGACCAACTGCCTTAATCCAATTTTAGCTGTATCTATTGCTCACATACTTCTGCATCTGGACTCTAATGAGCCCTTCCCAGCAACGGCCCCTCCCCACCTATATGGTGACTTCTGTTTCAGTTTGGAGTGTGCGTGCCCATGAAACCTTATGCCCAGAATGAAACTCCGTTGGTCTCAATAGTGCCACCGGACTCAGACTTTGTTCTGTTGCTTCAGGCCAACATAACTACCCACCTGAATCTATCTGAAGAAGTGTGCTTGCATATGAAAGCTTATCCACAGAATTAAACTCTGTTGGTCTCAAAGGTGCCGCTGAGTATCTGAAGAAGTGTGCTTGCACGCGGAAGCTTATCCCCAGAATTAAACTTGGTGGTCTCAAAGGTGTCGCTGAGTATCTGAAGAACTGTGCGTGCATGCGAAAGCTTATCCCCAGAATTAAATTCTGTTGGTCCCAAAGGTGCCACTGAGTATCTGAAGAAGTGTGCTTGCACGCGAAAGCTTATCCCCAGAGTTAAACTCTGTTGGTCTCAAAGGTGCCACTGGACTCAAACTTTGCTCTATTGCTTCAGACCAACCTGCCAGAATCTATCTTTCGACAGGATTGACATTTCTTGCAGCCCAGAAGGACACCCCTTCTGTTGACTTCTCAGACTCATGGCTTACTTAGTTCTGTTTCGGTTCAACTGGGGGGCGGGGGGGGAGGACAACATAGGTAAGAAATACGTTAGAACTGGAGATTGATGTGCCCTAATTTGTGAGAATCCCATCCTTAGACACCCCCCCATCCATCTTCTTTCAAGCCCGGAGGTGAATTTTACAGCATCTTGGCTGTGTAGAGTGTTTCCCTTGTCCCCCGAAACGAAGAACTGCATTTAAATCTACCGTTCCAAATTACATTACATATCCAATTATATTCTTGAACCGAGACAGAACTAAGCTTGTCATTTTTTTCAATCTGTTAAAAAAATAAGTGTCCTCACTATCTTGCATGCTAATTTAACAAACCACTCCTATATGTACAACCGTGAGATGTAATTCCATTTCATCGTCTGACGAACACAAAAGCTCACACCTTGGAGTCAGTGTTCCCTCTAAGCTGAGCTAGTGCGAGCTAGCTCACAGCTTTCTAGCCTCCAGCTCGCACATTTTGGTCTTCGCTCAGGAAGGGACGGCTCCGGAGCAAACTAATTTATGCAGCAGCCAAATTGCTCGTTAACAACTGTAATGCCAGTAACTCACAAAGGAGGATTTTTGCTCACAAGACTCTCCACAGCTTAGAGGAAGCATTGCTTGGAATAGAACTTTGTTGGTCTTAAAGGTGCCACTGGACTCTGACTTTGTTCTCTGTCCGTTTGTTAGTCTTAAAGGTGCTTCTGGGCTTTTTACTCTTTGGCTACACAAAATAAGCTGTGGCTGACACACACTACCCCCCTCACTGGCTCTTTCTTAACTGCCGCCTCTCCTGCCAGTTTGGTGTAGTGGTTAAGTGTGCGGACTCTAATCTGGGAGAACCGGGTTTGATTCCCCCACTCCTCCACTTGCACCTGCTGATGTGACCTTGGGTCAGTCACAAGCTCTGGCACAGCTGTCCTTGAAAAAGAGCAGTTTGTGTCAGAGTTCTCTCAGCCCCACCCACCTCACAGGGTGTCTGTTGTGGGGAGGGGAAGGGAAAGGAGTTTGTAAGCCGCTCTGAGACTCCAAGTGAAGGGCGGGGTATAAATCCAATCTCTTCTTCTTCTTCCTCAGACTGCCAAGATCTCATCCGATGGTGCTTATCTCCCGATCCTGCCAAGCGGCCGACCGTAGAGCAGGTGCTCCTTCACCGGTGGCTGAAAGTGGACCCCCTTCTTCAGCCCGAAGAAATACCCACCTCGGCCCCTCCCAGGGGCACCGCTTCGAACAGTAGCGGCTGAAGGTACTAAACGCTGCCTCCTGCCCGTTGTGAGGTGGGAATGGTGGTGCTAATGGTACCAAACGGACCTCAGGACAGCCACTGGCTGACGAAGCGTTAACCTGGTTCTACAGGTTTCTTACTGACTGCACTTGCGGACAGGAAGGTTCTAGAGCTGGGCAGAAAACGGAGTCATCCATGCTCAAAGTCCCTCCGCCGTTCAAATGATGTTTGATTTCTGGCCTACCCAGACATCTGGATGCATGTAAATACTTGTGTATTGATATTTGACCAGAGTCCCTGCAGCTGTCTTGGGGAGAAGGAGTCCGGGGTGAAATTCTAATTCTACCCCGAATTTGTGTTTTACCCTATGGGGTCAGCCAGTAGGCAAAGTATCCCTTTTTGTATAGGTTTGGTTTACAGCTATGTGGCTTTCTTCCTTTCTTTGTTCGTTTTAATTATTTTATTTGTTGAAATATTTGTACAGAGAGATGCTACCCACCGACAAGATCTGTACAGAAATCTATTTAATAAAAAGACGACCTTGTGAAACTGATTCTTTTTTTATATATATAAAATTTTATTTTAAAGTTTTAAGAGGATACAGAAAGAAAAAAAGGAACATGGGTAAAAGCATAGGGAATATAGAATCATAGAATGTTAGAGTTGAAAGGGGTCTTGCAGGTCATCTAGTCCAACCCCCTGCACTCTGCAGGAGCATAGCCAAAAGATAGCCCTACGTACCTACAACATACCCGAAAGATGGTCGTCCAGCCTCTTCTTGAAAACATCCAGCGAAGGAGCATCCACCACCTCCCGAGGCAGACTGTTCCACTGCTCAACTGACAGGAAGTTTCTCTGTAACGACTCCCTTGTAATTTCCACCCAATATAATTGCCAAAACCACAATGTAAAGGCAATTTGACAGATATTGAAGAAGAAGAAGAAAAGATTGGATTTATGCCCTGCCCTTCACTGCCCAAAGGTGTCTCAGAGTGGCTTACAAACTCCTTTCCCTTCCCCTCCCCACAACAGACACCCTGGGAGGTAGAAGAAGAAGAAGAGGAATTGGATTTATACCCCGCCCTTCATTACCCGAAGGAGTCTCAGAGCGGCTTACAAACTCCTTTCCCTTCCCCCTCCCCACAACAGACACCCTGTGAGGTAGGTGGGGCTCAGAGAACTCTGACAGAAACTGCTCTTTTTCAAGGACAGCTCTGACAGAACTATGGCTTGCCCAAGGTCATCCAGCAGGTGCAAGCGGAGGAGTGGGGAATCAAACCCGGTTCTCCCAGATTAGAGTCCGCACACTTAACCCCGACACCAAACTGGCTCTTTATCAGAATATGTGTGTATATTAAAAAAGTATATGGCATAATAGCTTAACTAATATATAACACTATATATGGTATAATGGCATAAGAGGGTCGTTATACTGATCTTCTAAGTTACTACGTTATATATATTTTAAGCTATATTCTTATGCCATTCTACCATATATAGTGTTATATAACTAATTTATGCAGCAGCCAAATCGCTCGTTCACAACTGTAATGCCAGTAGCTCACAAAGGAGGATTTTTGCTCACAAGACTAATATATAACACTATATATGGTATAATGGCATAAGAATATAGCTTAAAATATATATAACGTAGTAACTTAGAAGATCAGTATAACGACCCACTTGATATATTCTACCATTTTATCCTAATCTTATCTATTCTATGGTATAGCATAAATAACCTCATAGACATTTTAATAAAATTTTCACACAATAGTTTGTTATAGTAAGCAACAAATACATAATGCCCTTGTATAAATCAATGGTGTGACCTCATTTGTACAGTTCTGGTCACCACACCTCAAAAAGGATATTATTGCATTGGAAAAAGTGCAGAAAAGGGCAACTCGAATGATAAAAGTGTTGGAACACTTTCCCTATGAAGAACGGTTAAAGTGCTTGGGGCTCTTTAGCTTGGAGAAACGACGGCTGAGGGGTGACCTGATTGAGGTTTACAAGACTATGCATGGGATAGAGCAGGTCGAGAAGGAAGGACTTTTCTCCCTTTCTCACAATACAAGAACTCGTGGGCACTCCATGAAATTGCTGAGCAGTCCGGTCAGAACAGAAAAGTCCTTCTTCACCCAAAGAATGATTAACACATGGCAGTGGCAGTGGCTACAAGTATGGACGGCTTCAAGGGGGAATTAGATAAGCATATGGAGAATCAGTGGCTCTTAGTCACAAGGTATAGATAGGGACTCTCAGTCTGGGGCAGGTGATGCTCTGTCTTCTTGGTGCTTGGGGGGGTCAATAGTGGGAGGGCTTCTAATGTCCTGGCCCCACTGCTGGACCTCCTGATGGCACCTGATATCTTTGTCCACTGTGTGACCCAGAGTGTTGGACTAGATGGGCCATTGGCCTGATCCAACACTGGCTTCTCTTATGTTCTTATGTTATACAAATAATGCCCTATATCAGGGGTCATTTCCTGCAGGAGCGTACAGGAGCAGAGCTCCGGCAGTAAAGAGCCCAGGGGGTGGGCACATGCAACAGGCTTCCAGCTTTCCCCCGCCATTTTTAAAACCAAGCGATATGCGCTTGGGCGAAGCTTCGCCCTGAGCGTTTGTTAAAATAATAAAAAACCCTTACTTTAACTTCCCAGAGGAGTCCGGGACTACAGGGAGGCCAGGTTGGGCTTTAAACTTTAAAGGTAAGTCCTTACCTTTAAAGTTTAAATGTAATGGGGGGGGGGGGTTTGAGCATGCGCAAAAATTGCCATTCTCTGAATGGCTGCCTATGCGCATGCTCAAACTGTCCTTTAAAAAAAAAAAAAACGCCGACGCCCGCAGCTTGTCAGCGGGCGTCCAACGGAGGGCTCCGCAAAATGGAGGGTAAGTGTGATCGCGTTTATGCCGGCAGAAACGCCCCGTCTGAAAGCACATGTCAAGGTGAGAGAAAAATGGTAGGCAGGTAATTTATATCTACTTAGGAAGGTGGGGGTAGGGCTGAGTCATTGTCTTGTAGGAGTTCCCCAGGCTGTGAAAACATGCTAATGGAGGAGCTTTCCTGAGGAGGTTCTTTTGCATATGGATGGGCTGTTGAAATTCTAATCTTATCTGCAGTGCTATTGTAAGATGTAGAGCCTTTTGTGTTTTTCAGGACAGGAAACCATGCCCTATTTATTTTTAAACTCTCTTCTTTCCTGTTGAAATTGTGTTTATGTTTATGAATTTCAATGACTTCTCTGTGTAATCTGACATGGTAATTGGATGTGTTGTCCAGCCTTTCAGTGTCTTGGAATAAAATACTGTGAGGCAGGTTAGGCTGAGAGAGTGTGACTGGCCCTAGATCACCCCGTATTTATGCCGTAGCCAAATCACTCGCTCACAACTTTAATGCCAGTCGCTCACAAAGAAGAATTCCTGCTCACCAGACTCCACAGCTTAGAGGGAGCACTGCTTGTGACTGACCCAAAGGTCAGGCCAGCAGCTGCATGTGGAGGAGTGGGGAATCAAACCTGGTTCTCCCAGATTAGAGTCCGCACTCCTAACCAGTACACCAAACTGGCTCTCCTGGGGTGGCTGCTTGTATCTCCTTCTCTCCTCCTCTCTCCATTCTTTCAGAGTAGATGGAGCACTTGAAAGAAAATAATTAACTGGCTTCGAAGAGAGAAGCCGAATGGAAACCTCCCGGCCGTCGTGTCTCCTGTTGACTCAGATGCCACTCCCCGAGTCAGAAACAGAAGATCCCCGTGCCAAAGAGAGAACACCTGGCTTACGAAAGCACCAGGACCGCTTCCTGGAAACTCCTCCCGCAGGGATGCCGGTCTCGGAATGCCAAGCAGGATGAAGGAGTGACGTGCGACTGTTCCCAGCGTCACTCAAAAGTGTTGACTCACCCGCCCAAGTACACACGCTTATCCGCCACACCCCGACAAGGCCTGCGCCATCCACCTGTGTGTGCTTTGTCTCTGTGTCCTTGCCCGACGTAGCACAGCATCCTGTTGGGAGTTACAACCCGAGGAGTTAATAGAAGGGCAGACGAATTGGGTGAAAGGTGGCTCTGTGACAGGGCAGAGATCGAGGGTTCAAGAGGAGCCGCAGCTCAGTGGCAGAGCCTCTGCTTGGCGTGCAGGAGGTCCCAGGTTCAATCCTCCGGCATCTCCGGTTAAAAAGGACCAGGCAGGAGGGGATGGGAAAGACCTTGACCTGAGACCCTGGCTCAGTGGCAGAGCCTCTGCTTGGCGTGCAGGAGGTCCCAGGTTCAATCCTCCGGCATCTCCGGTTAAAAAGGACCAGGCAGGAGGGGATGGGAAAGACCTTGACCTGAGACCCTGGCTCAGTGGCAGAGCCTCTGCTTGGCGTGCAGGAGGTCCCAGGTTCAATCCTCCGGCATCTCCGGTTAAAAAGGACCAGGCAGGAGGGGATGGGAAAGACCTTGACCTGAGACCCTGGCTCAGTGGCAGAGCCTCTGCTTGGCGTGCAGGAGGTCCCAGGTTCAATCCTCCGGCATCTCCGGTTAAAAAGGACCAGGCAGGAGGGGATGGGAAAGACCTTGACCTGAGACCCTGGCTCAGTGGCAGAGCCTCTGCTTGGCGTGCAGGAGGTCCCAGGTTCAATCCTCCGGCATCTCCGGTTAAAAAGGACCAGGCAGGAGGGGATGGGAAAGACCTTGACCTGAGACCCTGGCTCAGTGGCAGAGCCTCTGCTTGGCGTGCAGGAGGTCCCAGGTTCAATCCTCCGGCATCTCCGGTTAAAAAGGACCAGGCAGGAGGGGATGGGAAAGACCTTGACCTGAGACCCTGGCTCAGTGGCAGAGCCTCTGCTTGGCGTGCAGGAGGTCCCAGGTTCAATCCTCCGGCATCTCCGGTTAAAAAGGACCAGGCAGGAGGGGATGGGAAAGACCTTGACCTGAGACCCTGGCTCAGTGGCAGAGCCTCTGCTTGGCGTGCAGGAGGTCCCAGGTTCAATCCTCCGGCATCTCCGGTTAAAAAGGACCAGGCAGGAGGGGATGGGAAAGACCTTGACCTGAGACCCTGGCTCAGTGGCAGAGCCTCTGCTTGGCGTGCAGGAGGTCCCAGGTTCAATCCTCCGGCATCTCCGGTTAAAAAGGACCAGGCAGGAGGGGATGGGAAAGACCTTGACCTGAGACCCTGGCTCAGTGGCAGAGCCTCTGCTTGGCGTGCAGGAGGTCCCAGGTTCAATCCTCCGGCATCTCCGGTTAAAAAGGACCAGGCAGGAGGGGATGGGAAAGACCTTGACCTGAGACCCTGGCTCAGTGGCAGAGCCTCTGCTTGGCGTGCAGGAGGTCCCAGGTTCAATCCTCCGGCATCTCCGGTTAAAAAGGACCAGGCAGGAGGGGATGTGAAAGAGACCTTGGAAAGCCCCTGCCAGTCTAAGTAGACAATCCTGATCTTGATGGACCAAGGGCCTGATTCAGTATAAGGCGGTTTCGTGGGTTCAAGATACCTGGTAAGGGAAGCATAGAAATTCTACTTTGTGAGCTCCTGGTTGTGAGCGAGCAATTTGGCTGCTGCATAAATTAGTTGGCTCTGGAGCCACCCTTCCTGAGCTAAGACAAAAATGTGTGAGCCGCAGGCTGAAAAACTGTGAGCTAGCTCACACTAACTCAGCTTAGAGGGAACACTGATTACTCCATCACCTTTCATCATAAGTCCACATAAGGCAGATTCATTTCCCAGGCGTGAAAGAGAGCCAGGAAGTCCGGCTGGGATGCAATGAGAATTGTGCCTTCGTGGCTAAAACCAACAACCTTTATCTATCTCTACAGGTTCCGGTGGGTCACTGTGTTGGTCTGAAGCAACAGAACAAAATTTGAGTCCAGTGGCACCTTTAAGACCAACAGCGGTTAATTCTCTGGGGACAAGCGTTTGTGTCCATGCACTGTTGTATCTGAAGAAGTGTGCCTGCACACAAAAGCTCATACCCAGAATTAAACTTTGTTGGTCTTAAAGCTGCCACTGGACTCAGACTCTGTTCCATCTCTACAGGGTTATCCTGATGTAGATTATCCACGGTCTTCTGAAGAGAAACCACTCTGTGTACACAGCATTCTCTGACGCAGGTAATCCAGAGATAAGGTTGACTAAGCACGATACACAGATCAGACCTACTAATCAGAATGGCTAATTTATCTCTGTTTTTTAACCTATGCAGCTGTGGGTGGCAGACATGAGTTGTCCATTGGCGACAACATTCCCATGGTGCAGTGTTCTTAAAGACTCTCTTATCGGTCTATCAAGGTGGGCTGTTTTTGCCCTGATAGGGCTGCCAACCTCCTGCTATTACATCTGCTCTCCAGCCAACCGATATCAGTTCCCCTGAAGAAAATGGCTGCTTTGGGGGGTGGACTCTGGCACTGGACCCTGTTGAGGTTCCTCCTCCCCCCAAACTCTACCCTTCCCGTGCTGCACCCTCCAAATCTCCAGAAACTTCCCAACCTGGAGTCGGCAACCCCAGGGAAAGGCTCTGCCTGTTGAATGTTCACCCTTCCGCCCGTTTGTTGCAGCTCTGTGTAGCTTGTGTTCTACTCTGGATAGAGAGGACAAGTTACTGTCGCAGCGCTATAGACTAAGGAAGCCTTCTGACGCAAGATGACTGGCAGGAAAAGGTGAATGGCTTAAAGGGCTAGAGTCATAACAGAGCGTTTCTGGAAGGTGCTTTGATAAAGGGAATGGGAGTGTGCACTCTACTACTGCTTACAGTTGGCTACTGTTTTCTGTATAGGGTTGCCAATTCCTGGAGATTTGGAGGGTGCAGTACGGGAAGCGTAGAGTTTGGGGAGGGCAGGGCCTCAGCAGGATACAATGCCACAGAGTCCACCCTCCTTAGTAGCCATTTTCTCCCGGGCAACGGAGCTCTGCTGGCTGGTGAACAGTTGCGATATTGGGAGATCGCCAGGCGGCACCTGGGAGTTGGCAACCCTGTTACCTTGCTCCCCTGCGCTGCCTTCCACTTATGTGACACCGATTCATTCATTCATTCGTTCATTCATTCAATACTTCAAATTAGTGAATCACCCAGTCCCTGTATGGGCAGGGCTCTGTGTGATGTACAATAAAAGTTAATCTCAAAATGGCACTACTAATCCACTCGTAAAGCCAGTGTTGCCGCCCTGTGGGCAGGGCGAAGAGGAGGCAGAAATGGAAGAAGATGGAAGAAAGAGGGGAGGGTGCCAGCCGCGGTGGAAAACCGTCGCCACCCTTGACCAAAAGCCCGGCGGAACATCTTTGCCTTACAGGCCCTGTGCATCAAGTCCCTCAGAGCCCTGGTGGTATTTGGCAGAGTTCCAGAACCTGAAAAGGTTAGTCAAACAGAAAAGAGGGCCAACAATAAAAGCTTAATATATATATCGTATATAAAAAGACACACGTAGTTATTGACAAAGAATTTATATATAAGGGCACAAGCACAGCTCATGTAAAAATACCAGAATCTAGCACACAAGGGCCAATGGACTAGATCTGACGCGTTTCAGCCTGCATAGGCCTTCTTCAGAGGTCAAACACAGTGAGGAACATATTGGCTTCTATAATAGTACCGTACAATCATATAGAAATAAAATATAAATACAAGGACCAGGAAAATGTTGTTCCAAAATGAAACCACCAGGCACAGAAAAAAAGTACAAATGAGGCCTCCAAAGATGCAATCACATGGCAAGTGGTGTTTCACTGGTAATGCTTTCTGGTCCAGAAAGTGCCTTCCGGCTATGATTGTTTAGCCAAAGTGTCCTAAGGACAATTCTATTGAAGACACTTTGGCTAAACAATCATAGGAAGGCACTTTCTGGACCTATGCAGGCTGAAACGCGTCAGGTCAAGTCCATCAGCCCTTGTGTGTTAGATTCTTTCCAGGTTCTGGATCCCAGGTTTCTAGGTTCATCCCCCCCCCCCTTTTTTTGACCCGGTATTTGGCAGAGTTCCACCAGGTTGGAGCCAGGCCTGAGAAGGACCCGGTTGTGACTTTATTATAGGAGCCCATTTTCTGCGTTGTCCCACCTACCACATCTAGTACTTTTTCAGATTTCTGCTTTTATTGTCAGCTTATGCAACACCTTAAATGTATTACAAAGACTATAAAGAGAGACTATAAAGTGTTTCCAGTTGCCCTCAGCATGTCTTTGGCATTTGGGATAATCTGGGGTGCTTTCTATGTTTTATTGAAAGGACAAAGAATGGATGACATGGATTCAACTCGGCTTCCCAGAAAACGTACAGTAAGGTGACACCATCCCTGCAATCAATTTAGGCTAGATGCTTATCTGCTTGCCTTTACAATGCAGGCATAATCAGACTGTACACTATGGGCAGAAGAATTTGCTTTCTGCCGTTTTATCCTTCTAAATCTTGTTTTATTATCCTGGACAGTTGTGACCTCACAAGCTTGTGTAATATTCTGCCTCTTTTCGGTTGGCTCTAATAAAAGATATAAAGGGGGGGGGGGACCACACAAAACCCTGCAAGCACAGTCCTATTCTATGGCTTATGACATTTCTTATGGGAGAGAGGGCAGGAAGGGTTGCCTCCCTGCTTAGTTCTTGTGGCCCTTTCTTACACGCCCAGGGAAATGCTGATTGCCACTTTGGGGTCAGGATGGAAGCAATTTTTCTCCAGACCAATCCGGCCAGATATCCTGGAGGGTTTTTTTTTGTCATCTTCTGGGCGTGGAACAGTGGTCACTGAGGGTGTGGAGGGAGAGGTCGTTGTGAATTTCCTGCACTGTGCAGGGGGTTGGACTAGATGACCCTGGAGGTCCCTTCCAACGCTATGATTCCACGTCTCACCCCACTGAGTGCATGGACCGACCCCACCGATTGCACGGACTGACACTCTTGCAACCCGCCTTGTCCCCGCGAGAAAGGCGGGCCACAAACAAATAAATCAAGACAATAAAAATAAATAACTGGAGGAGAGAGGAACGTGTCCCTAAAAGCTACCTTAGCCTAAGAAACAGTCTGCTGGAGCCACCCACCCCACCCCCCGGCTGCCAGCGACCTTCCCCCTCCGCAACAGGCAATGAGCGGTCTAAGCCGGGCGTCACCATAGAGCTGTCCAGGGAACAGAGCGTCCCGCTCCTCCTCCAGAATCCCCGGATGTCCAGCTTGCGGGCCGCTCTAGCCTGCCGCCCTTCCCCTCTCTTCGCGTTGGTCTCGATGGTCCTCCCCCTCGCTCTCTCACGCTCACACACGTCTCCGCCCGGAGGCGGAAGTGGGGCGAGGCTGGGGATGCGGAAGTGCGAGCTGCGGCGGGGAAGCTGGGCGGCCCGGCGGTTGCCACCATGGCAGCGGCTGAGGGCCAGGGGAGCGGCGGCGGGAGCCCGGGGGCCGCAGGAGGTGAGAGGCGGCCGGGCGGGGGGCGGGAGCCGGGGAAGGCGAGGGGGTTTGCGGCGCGCTTTCCTCGCTCAGCTCCCCGCCAAAGTCCCTCCCGGAGGAGGCGTCCCTACCTGGGAATGAGGGTTGCCAATCCCCAGGTTAGGGCAGGGGATCTCCCGGTTTGGAGCCCCTGCCCCCGCTTCAGGGCTGTCAGAAAGCGGCGCGCGGGGGGGGGGGATAGCTGCTGGGCGCTGCATTATACCCTATGGAGACCGGTCCCAATAGGGTATAATGGAGAATCGATCTGTAGGTTTCTGGGCTTCTGGTGGGGCTGTTCTTTGAGGTAGAGGCACCGGATTTTCAGCATAGCATCTGGTGCCTCTCCTCAAGAAACCCCCCAAGTTTCAAAAAGAATGGTCCAGGGGGTCCAATTCTACGAGCCCCCAAAGAAGGTGCCCCCATCTTCTGTTATTTCTAACGGAGGGAAGGCTTTTTAAAATGAACGCTGCCCCTTTAAATGCAGTGGCTTCTCCCGAAGCCTCCTGGTAAGTTCCCCCACCTGCTTGTCGGCCTCAGGCTACAGTCGTGCATACCCGGAGCCACCACTAGGGTTGCCGATCTCCAGTTGGGGCCTGGAGAGCTCCCGCTATCACAACTGATCTCCAGGGGGCAGAGAATTCAGTTTGCCTGGAGAAAATGGCTGCTCTGGCGGGTGGGCTCTGTGGCACGGCACCCTGCTCTGTGGCCCGCCTTTCTTGCGGTTTGTTCCCTTTCCCAAACCGTGGTCTCCCCAGGTTCCCTCCTCCAAAAAAATCTCCAGGTATTTTCCAACCGAAGGTTGGCAACCCTATTCATGATATACCCTAAAACGCTGCAATGTCTCTTATTTCAGAAATCTGGACCTGCCATCCCACTGGCTTAGGGTCACATAATTGGACCGTTATCCAACGCTCAGTGTCCACTTTGCAGGACACCTCTTTTAGCTTTGTTGCAAAATGAGAAGTGTTGTCAGTAAAGATGACGGCCTCCATTTGGGGCCTGGTGTTCTTCCACAATTACAGCTCATCTCCAGACTATGGAGATCAATTTCCCCCCCGGAGAAAATGGCTGCTTTGGAGGGTGGACTCCATGGCCTTGTACCCTGCTGGGGACCCTTCCCCTCCCAAGCCCTGTCTCCCCCAGCCTCTACTCCCCCCGCCCCTAATGCTCCAGGTATTTCTCAGCCCAGAGATGGCAGCCCTAACCACAGCAGCTATCCAGGGGTCTCAGGAGTGTCACCTCCCACTGGGACCTTTCAAAACTGGCCAGGGATTGTGTCTGGGACTTCTTGCACGCAAAGCAGTCTCTCTGCTACTGAGCCTAGCCCAGCTCTGTGTTTTCTTTACGCTGGTTTCCATGAACCTGCCAATCGACTTCATCTGTTGTTCATGCTTTATACAAGTCCATTAGCAACCCAGCGACCAGCAAGATTTCCAGGCTATAACCTACCTTCCTTCCTCCCCTCCCTCCTTCCCATCTATTTCCTCCCTCCCTCCCTCCCTCCCTCCTTCCTTCCTTCCTATTTGCCCTTCCTTCCCCCATCTATTTCCTTCCTTCCTTCCTATTTGCCCTCCCCCCATCTATTTCCTTCTGTTCTTCCCATCTTTTCATTTCCTTTCTTCCTTTTTCCATCCATCATAGAATGTTAGAGTTGGAAGGGACCTTGCAGATCATCTAGTCCAACTCTCCCTCCCTCCCTCCCTCCCTCCCTCCCTCCCTCCTGTGCACCCATGCCTGGAACCTCTAGCAACTCCTACTGGGGCACGGAGGATGTTCAGAGAAGTGGCTTTGATAGCCTGCCCCTGCCTCCCGGCCCTGGTATTCTCTGGAGGTCTCCCGTCCAAATACCTGCCAGGGTCAGCCCTGCTTAGTTTCCGAGATCTGACAAGATTGGGCTTGCCTGGGCTATCCAGTTAAGGGCCTGGCTATAAGCTTTCGAGAGTCACACCTCCCTTTGTCACAGATAGTACCTGGCAAAGGGGGCATTGCCTCTTGAAAGCTTAAAACCTGGAAATCTGGTTGGTCTTCACGGTGCCACTGGACTTGAACCTTGATCTTCTACCGCGGACCAGAAAATACAACCAAACACACACTGTGATGTGATGACCAAATCTGAAATTTAGAAGGCTTCCAGCCGGATAGAAAATAAAGACTGGTTTGTTCCTAATATAAATATTAATATGGTGTTACTGGAGAGCACTGAAGCCAGCAAAATTAAGAAGGCTTGCTCCTAATTTAAACACTTTAAATGGAATCAGGGGATAATAATTTGAAGCGTGTATACTCTTGAGGCTTGTAGAGAGCAGTTTGCCAGCCTAATCCAGAAGGCTCTCGCATCTGCGTAGAGTCCAGTGGCACCTTTAAGACCAACAAAGGTTTATTCAAGGTGCCTGCGCACAAAATCTCATACCCTGAATAAACCTTTGTTGGTCTTAAAGGTGTCACTGGACTCAAGAGTTGTTCTACTGCTTCAGACCAGCACGGCTGACCAACTGGGTCTGTGTCGAGAAGAGGTTAAGGACTGGCTTGCTCCCAACGTAACACTGAACTGTATTAAGAGGCTGACACCTTTGAGGATATTAGGATTACTCCTGAGGAAGATCGGGACAAAATGAGCCTATATCCAGGTGCTCATTGAGACGGATGGACTTTTGCTTGTAATATTATAAAGATTTATTTATCAGTAATGTAAGGAGCTGCGGTGGCTCAAGTGGTTAAGATGCTGAACTGCAGGCTGTGGAAGGTCGGTAGTTCAGCAGTTCGAGACCCGGGTGACGCAAGACGGAGTGAGCTCCTGTCTCTAGTTCCAGCTCCTGCCAACCTAGCAGTTCGAAAGCAAGAAATTGCAAGTAGATAAATAGGTACCGCTTCGGTGGGAAGGGAACAGCGTTCCGTGCGCCTTGGTGTTTAGTCATGCCGGCCACATGACCACGGAAACGTCTTCGGATAGCGCTGGCTCTTCGACTTTGAAACGGAGATGAGCACCGCAACCCTAGAGGCGGATTCGACTGGCTTTCAAGCAAGGGAACCTTTACCTTTTTAATGTAATACCATGTTTAACATGGAAAGAGTTACTAAATGTCTTAGTCACCACATCGCAGCGTTTGCTTGGTTGTATTTTCTGTATGGGTAACTGTGATCCCTCGTGTGTGTTTTTTCTGCTTCTGCTGCAGACCAGCAGGGCTCTACCCACTGAACATAATAAGAACATAAGAGAAGCCAGTGTTGGCTCAGGCCAATGGCCCATCCAGTCCAACACTCTGTGTCACACAGTGGCCAGAAATACCATGGGCCATCAGGAGGGGCCAGGACACTAGAAGCCCTCCCACTGTTGCCCCCCCCCCCAAGCACCAAGATTACAAAGCATCACTGGCCCCAGACTGAGAGTCCCCGTCTATACCTTTTGGTTAATAGCCACTGATGGACCTCTGCTCCAAATGTTTATCCAGTTCCCTCTTGAAGCCGTCCATGCTTGTAGGTGTCACCACCTCCTGTGGCAGTGAATTCCACATGTTAATCACTCTTTGGGTGAAGAAGGACTTCCTTTTATCCGTTCTAATCCGACTCATTGAGTGACCAGGAGTTCTTGTATTGTGAGAAAGGGAGAAAAGGACTTCTTTCTCCACCTGCTCTACCCCATGCATAATCTTATAAACCCCGATCATGTCACCCCTCAGCTGTCGTTTCTCCAAGCTAAAGAGCCCCGAGCACTTTAAACTTTCTTCATAGGGAAAGTGCTCCAACCCCTTTTATCATTCTAGTTGCCCTTTTCTGCACTTTCCCCAGTGCTATAATATCCTTGGTGAGGTGTGGTGACCAGAACCGTACACAGTACTCCAAACGAGGCTGCACCATTGATTTCTAAAGGGGCATTGTGTATAATTGGAAACGTTCCTGCTTTTTTAACCCGCAGGTCAGAACTTGGGCAGCTTGGGTTGGAATTAGGTTGCCGACAGCCTGACGGGAACAAGCGCTGTTCTTGTATTAGAGGCTTCATGGGATATTATCTGCCAAGTAATGTTAATTTCCCGCCATGCTGTGAAAAGCTCCAGCTGCCCGTCTCCCTACTCTGAACCTCTGTTAAAGGAAGATGGTATTTCTCTCCAGGCCTGTTGGCAGCCCCCGTTGGAATCCCCCCTGAGTTGCTGTGGATTCCGGGCCCCTCGAAGTGCCCCTGCTTCCCAGATGAAAAATATGAGGGCAGAATCGCTAGATACCTTTGGCAAGAGAAGTGTTGCTGAGGGACTTCTGATTTGGGGTGTGTGTGTGTGTGTTTCTAGAAGAGTATCTATTCGGTTAGGAGCTGCGGTGGTTCAAGTGGTTAAGATGCTGAACTGCAGGCTGTGGAAGGTCAGTAGTTCAGCAGTTCGAGACCCGGGGGTGCCGCATGACGGAGTGCGCTCCCGTCTCTAGTTCCAGCTCCTGCCAACCTAGCAGTTCGAAAGCAAGAAATTGCAAGTAGATAAATAGGTACCACTTTGGTGGGAAGGTAACAGCGTTCCGTGCACCTCGGTGTTTAGTCATGCCGGCCACATGACCACGGAAATGTCTTCGGACAGTGCTGGCTCTTCAGTTTTGAAACGGAGATGAGCACCGCAACCCTAGAGTCGGACTCGACTGGCTTTCAAGCAAGGGAACCTTTACCTTTACCTTTTTATCTGCTCGGTTAAGTCATGCAGACATTATTATGCCAGAACAAAGTTTGAGTCCGGCGGCACCTGTAAGACCAATGAAGATTTATTCAAGGTACGAGCTTTTTTTGTGCACGCCCAAATCCTCAAGTACGTCTGAGGAAGTATCTGAGGCCGTCTGCCTGCACAGGAAAGCTCACACCTGGAATATTTATTTATTTATTTATTTTTCACATTTTTATCCTGCCCTCCCCGGAGGCTCAGGGCGGCTTACAGGGCATAAAACTTTATTGGTCTTAAGGGTGTCACCGGACTCAAACTTTGTTCTGCTGCTTTAGCCCAACACGGCGACCCCACCTTGATCTATTATTATGCTAGTTTGAGGGGGTTTCGGCCCAGGCCCCCCCACCTGTAAAGAGGTTGGCTTGCTGGGAAACAGAGGAGAACGTAAGAGAAGCCAACGCTGGATCAGGCCAGTGGCCCATCCAGGCCAATGCTCTGTGTCACAGAGTGGCCAAAACCCAGGGGCCATCAGGGGGTCCACCAGCGGGGCCAGAACTCCAGAAGCCCCCCCACTCTTGCCCCCCCTCAAGCACCAAGAAGACAGAGCATCACTGCCCCAGACATAAGAACATAAGAGAAGCTATGTTGGATCAGGCCAGTGGCCCATCCAGTCCAACGCTCTGTGTCCCACAGTGGCCAAAACCCAGGGGCCATCAGGGGGTCCACCAGTGGGGCCAGAACTCTGGAAGCCCTCCCACTGTTGCCACCCCCCCCAAGCACCCCCTGCCTCAGACAGAGCATTCCATCTATACCTTGTGGCTAAGAGCCACTGATGGACCTCTGCTCCGTATGCTTATCCAGTCCCCTCTTGAAACTGTCTCTGCTCGTAGCCGCCACCACTTCTTGTGGCAGTGAAATAAGAAGAAGAAGGGGAAGAGGAGGATTGTTCTTAGCCAGATGGACCAGGAGTGAGTCCTGGCACTGCTGCCAGTAGTTGGCTTGCCTCAGGCCTGACTGGGGGCTGGGTATGTCTGGGAAGAAGAAGAAGAAGAGACTGGATTTATACCCCGTCTTCACTACCCGAAGGAGTCTCAGAGCAGCTCACAATCTCCTTTCCCTTCCCCTCCCCACAACAGACACCCTGGGAGGTAGGTGGGGCCGAGAGAGCACTTTTGATAACTGCTCCTGAGAGAACAGCTCTGAGAGAACTTGTGGCTGATCCAAGGTCACACCAGCAGCTGCACGTGGAGGAGTGGGGAATCAAACCCGGTTCTCCCAGATTAGAGTCTGTGCTCCTAACCACTACCCCAGACTGGCGGTGATGGACATAAAGCTCAGGGGCCTGCATTGGTTGCTTGTGCCGAAAGTTGGCCCAGCATTTGCCAAGCAAGATAGGGGAAGAAGTGTGCCTGAACACGAAAGCTTATACTCAGAATTAAGCTTCGTTGGTCTTAAAGGTCCCACCAGACTCAAACTTTCTCCTAAGATCATTTTCTTGGGAGTAAGCCCTATTGAATAGACCTCAGCTGGATCAGAGTAGACCTGCTGGGATTGCTCTTTAGATGCTTTGGTTTTTTTTTTTTTTAAGTTAAGACACAGGCTTACCAATGATGATGTCTTATGATAGTTAACGATAGAGCCTCTCGGCCAGTGTTCCCTCTAAGCTGAGTTAGTGTGAGCTAGCTCACAGTTCTTTTAGCCTCCGGCGCACACATTTTTGCCTTCGCTCAGGAAGGGACGGCTCCAGAGCAAGCTAATTTATGCAGCAGCCAAATCGCTCGCTCACACCTTTAATGCCAGCAGCTCACAAAGTAGAATTTTGGCTCACAAGACTCCACCGCTTAGAGGGAGCGTTGCTCTCGGCCCAGAGGCCATCTGTCTTTGCCTCCTAAATGATCTGGGTAAACAGTTGGCAGTCACTGTCTTCTCCGTGCCCCACCTTCTAAGTTTCTGGAGTACCTGGTCATCCTTGTGAGAAGGAAGGTGTACCGCGTTCAGTCTTCGGTCTCATTTAGTAAAACTGTCCATCTTCACACAGTTTACCTTACGGTCCAAAGGCAAACAAGTCACAACAGGGAGAGGGACATTTGTGGAAATAGCCGTCCCGCCCTCAGAGACAGAAACCTGATCCCGGCATTGGAGGTGAGAAGTCCTTCGTAGCCGTTTGCAGTCCTCTCTCCCTCCTCCTGGCTTTCCCTTCCAGAAGGAGCAGGTGGCCGCTGTACTAGCGAGCGGAATCCGGCGCTGCCAGATACGTCCCCCCCAGTTTTACGTTCCTAGTTCCGGTTAGGCGTGCCTTGGCAGCCGCGGGCGATAGTTTGCAGAGCCGGCCGGCCGGCCCGGAGAAGGATCTGGCTTTGGCGTCATCAGAGCTGGGTGGGAGTCCCCTCCCCCTTGACCGCCCCCCTCCTCCACTGTAGCTTTCAGGACGCCTGGATCAGCGGATGAGCGGGCTCACATGGGGATTTGGGTCTGCGCTACCATACCCCCCCCCCTTTGCTAATTAGATTGGGAAGAGACTTTGAGAAGCCTTCAGCAGTGCTTCTCTCGCCGAGCAGCCATGCGCAGGACGGGGGACAGAACCAGGCGATAGTTCCAAGGGTGCTGAATTTGACTACGGGGCAGTGTTCCCTCTAAGCTGAGGTAGTGTGAGCTAGCTCACAGTTCTTTTAGCCTCCGGCTCACACATTTTTGTCTCCACTCAGGAAGGAGGGCTCCAGAGCAAACTCATTTATGCTGCGGCCAAATCAGCTCGCTCACAACTTTAATGCCAGGAGCTCACAGGACTCCAAAGCTTAGAGGGAGCATTGCTGTGGGGCCCGATCCTTTTTGGGTGTCTCCTGATTCCACGTGTCCCACAGAGAGCTCCCATTCCGTGGGGTTCTCCGCCTTCTCCCTCAAACGTCTCCGGCCCCGGCGGTTGTTGAAGCGGGGGCTGGGGGGGGAGTCCCTAAACGTGCGCTCTGATCTCTGAGATGGGCTTGTGGTGGCGACCGACTGATCGCGAGATATCTGAGCGGATCCCTGCACTTCCTTTCCCAGGTAACCGGCAGTTGAAGTACATCAGTCTGGCCGTCCTGGTGGTGCAGAACGCCTCCCTGATCCTCAGCATCCGGTACGTGCGCACGCTGCCCGGGGACCGGTTCTTCGCCACCACGGCCGTGGTCATGGCCGAAGTCCTCAAAGGAGCCACCTGCCTGCTGCTCATCCTCATTCAGAAGCGAGGTGAGGAGGTCGCGTCCCCGGGGGCTGTAACGGAGGGGGGAACGTCGGCTTGAGAGACTCCACCTTGATAGATGTTTAAAGCGCTTGTTTAATTTGTTTATACCCCACCTTTCTTCACAGCGGGGGGACCCAAAGCGGCCTCCATCAATCTCCGGTCCGGTGTAGTGGTTAGGAGGGTGGACTCTAATCTGGGAGAGCCGGGTTTGATTCTCCACTCCTCCACGTGCAGCTGCTGGTGTGACCTTGGGTCAGCCAGAAGTTCTCTCAGAGCTGTTCTCTTGTCCTCGAGAGAGCTCTCTCAGCCCCCACCCACCTCACAGGGTGTCTGTCGTGGGGAGGGGAAGGGAGAGGAGTTTGTAAGCCTCTCCGAGACTCCTTTGGGTAGTGAAAGGCGGGGTCTAAATCCAGTCTCTTCTTCTTCTCTCTTTCCTCCATTCTGTCCTCACAACAGCCCTGTAAGGTCGGTTAGGCTGAGAGAGCATGACTGGCCCAAGTGCTCTTCCATGGCAGAATGGGAATGCAAAACTGGGCTTCCCAGATACTAGTCTCTGACACTCTAACCGCTATACCACACTGCACCTTCCCTGGCGCCCATCAAGTGTTTTTCAGGAGTGGATGGGGCTGGGCAGGTCTTTTGCCCAGCAAGGAGAATCTGCCAAGGTTTCTTCTGCCAGTCACACACTAGGGACATGAACCCTTAGTCCGTATTTCGTTTTGCGAGGGAGTGAGTTTGTGGTGCTCTTCTGGCTGTGGCCCTTTGGGCCCTCGCTCTGTTTTTCTAAAAAGCCCGCATTGAAAATGAGTTGCCAACAGAGTCACCCTCTGTCTCTTTCTCCCCCCCTCTCTCAGGTAACCTGAAGCAGTTTGCCTCATTCCTGTACGACTCTGTCGTGGTGCAGTACATGGACACCCTCAAACTAGCAGTGCCTTCTCTCATTTACACCCTCCAGAACAACCTCCAGTACGTGGCCATCTCCAACCTGCCTGCAGCCACCTTCCAGGTGAGACGCGGGGCTGTCCTTCTAAGGCCTCGCCTCCTCCGGCAGCCGCGGGAACTCCTGCACAAGGCTCCCACGGGCTTGGCTCCTGCCCCTGACGTGCTCTGGTGTACACATCACCTCCTTCCCTCTGCCCCCCCCCCGCTGTGTCACGTGCAGACATGGGGGATAAGTCTCCGGAGGAGGAAGGGGGGCCAGTCAGTGTTCCCTCTAAGCTGAGTTAGTGTGAGCTCGCTCACAGTTTTTTAGCCTCCGGCTCACACCTTTTTGTCTTAGCTCCGGAAGGGATGGCTCCAGAGCAAACTAATTCATGCAGCAGCCAAATCGCTCACTCACAAGTTTAACGCCAAGAGCTTGCAAAGTGGAATTTTTGCTCACAAGACTCCACAGCTTAGAGGGGGCAGTGGTGCCAGTAATTCTTTACAGATCCTGCAGCAGCTAGCAGTGAAGTCACTCAGAAGTACACGGAAATTTCTTCCATCATGTGTGGCTGTAATTCCCCTTCCCCCCAGAAGTGGTCACCACCGTTCCCTAGAGAGGAAATAGCCCCCTTTTGTCTGGTGAAAGGGAGGCACTCTGGGAAAGGGTGGAGGAAATCTTGTTCTGGCCCGGCCAAGCAGCACAGCTCCGGAGCAGGGGTAGAGTCTTCACGAAGGCCTATGTCTCCTGGGCCTGCAAAGCTGGAATCGTGTGACCTCCGTCGACTGGCGAATAACGCCAGTCTTCACTTCACAGTCTTTTTCTTTTGCATACGTCTGCAATTTTTTTTTTTTGTGCAGAAAATTACATTTATTCTGGTTCCGCTACTCAGGTTGAAAGGACAAGTCACTGCTCCTCTGAGACCTCAGCCAGCTTGGTGTCGTGGTTAAGAGCGGCGGACTCTAATCTGGGAGAACCGGGTTTGATTCCCCACGCCTCCACATGCAGCCAGCTGGGTGACCTTGGGTCAGTTACAAGTTCTCTCAGAGCTGTTCTCTCGAGAGCAGTTCTCCTGGATCTCGCTCAGCCCCACCTACCTCACAGGGGGTCTGTTGTGGAGAGGGGAATGTGATTGTGAGCTGCTCTGAGACTCCGAGTGAAGGGCGGGGTATAAATCCAATCTCCTCCTCCTCCTCCTGCTGAGGGGCTAATTGCTGTTAGAGTTCGGCATGACCTTGCTTTTTTTTTTGCTTGTTTTTTTGCCTTTTTTTTTTTGCTTGTTTCGATGCTATTTCGATGTGTTTTTCCCCCATTATCGTCGCAAGCCGCTTCAGAAAAGTGGCGATTAAAGATACCAAGCACGTTTGTGAAATCTGGATTTGGCTCCTAGGAGACGGCTCAGACTGTGAATCGCTTGGGCAAGTGTAGCTTCATTTCCTTCTCTCTGTGCCCGGGGAAGGTTTCTCTGGCGAACAAGGCTGCAGTCAGTCCAGGTTCACCTTTATCGGCTTAAATTGTCAATACAGATGATACAGTTTAAGAGCAAGATAAAAGCACGACCCACAGGTACATCGATGATAGAATGATGTCTCTAGGATCCTTTGGCGCCGCTTCAGAGCAGAGTAGATCAACGTGGCCACCTTCTCGGTGATGTCAGAGGGGAAGTCGTTCAGCAGTCCGTGCACCTTAAGTGCATCAGAGCAGTCTATCGTGCGTCTTAAAAGTAGAACGTAAATATGTATATACCTTAGATCCACATGTAGGTGACAGTACAAAAGGACATGAGCAATTGACTCAACACAGTTTTGTTTGCAGGGACAATATCTGGCTGAATGAGATGGCTGCAGTCAGCTCATTACACAAAACTGTAGTCAAGGCCAACTGCGGTTAGTAAATAGAGTTTGCGTCTTGGCTCGGCAGATCACAGCTAACCGTAGTCAACGGAGTGGCTCATGTTCAGATGTGCACGTGAAGCTGCCTTACGCTGAATCGGACCGTAGTCCCATCAGTGTCAGTACTGTCTGCTCAAAGTGGCAACGGCTCTCCAGAGTCTCAAACCGAGACCTTTCCCATCACTGACTGCCTGGTCCTTTTACCTGGAGATGCCGGGGATTGAACCTGGGACCTTCCGCATGCCAAGCAGTGGATCTGCCACTGAGCCAGGATCTCAGGACGAGGTCTTTCTCATCACCTACTGCCTGGCCTTTTAGCTGGAGATGCCAGGGATTGAACCTGGGACCTTCTGCAGGCCAAGCAGAGGCTCTACCACTGAGCCAGGGTCTCAGGTCGAGGTCTTTCTCATCCCCTCTTGCCTGGTCCTTTTAACTGGAGATGCTGGGGATTGAACCTGGGACCTTCTGCATGCCGAGCAGAGGCTCTGCCACTGAGCCAGGGTCTCAGGTCAAGGTCTTTCTCATCCCCTCCTGCCTGGTCTTTTTAACTGGAGATGCCGGGGATTGAACCTGGGACCTTCTGCATGCCGAGCAGAGGCTCTGCCACTGAGCCAGGGTCTCAGGTCAAGGTCTTTCTCATCCCCTCCTGCCTGGTCTTTTTAACTGGAGATGCCGGGGATTGAACCTGGGACCTTCTGCATGCCGAGCAGAGGCTCTGCCACTGAGCCAGGGTCTCAGGTCAAGGTCTTTCTCATCCCCTCCTGCCTGGTCTTTTTAACTGGAGATGCCGGGGATTGAACCTGGGACCTTCTGCATGCCGAGCAGAGGCTCTGCCACTGAGCCAGGGTCTCAGGTCAAGGTCTTTCTCATCCCCTCCTGCCTGGTCTTTTTAACTGGAGATGCCGGGGATTGAACCTGGGACCTTCTGCATGCCGAGCAGAGGCTCTGCCACTGAGCCAGGGTCTCAGGTCAAGGTCTTTCTCATCCCCTCCTGCCTGGTCTTTTTAACTGGAGATGCCGGGGATTGAACCTGGGACCTTCTACGTGCCAAGCAGATGCTCTACCACTGAGCCACAGCCCCCTCCCAAAATGTTAAAAGGCCTGGTGTTGATTCAGGTATCCATCAAGGGATGAAGTCAGTCATGTGCCCTACGGAAGGCATGAAGCTCCCTTATACTGAATCAGACCCTCGGTCCATCAACGTCAGCATGATCTACTCAAACTGGCAGCAGCTCTCCAAGGCTGAGGCAGGGCCACGGCCAGGATTTTGTCAGGGGGGGGGGCTTTAAATAAGTGGGGGGCACCGATGTCACAAAATTAAAAATAAAACTGAAATACAAAATTTTAAAACTCAGTGTTGCAGCATTCTCAGTCTGCTCGCCCACGCGGGGAAGCAAACTGCGCTTGGGGAAGGGGGGGCAGTGGGGAGTCCTCCGGGTGGCCCAGACAGTTGGGGGGCCTGGGGGCTGCACGGAAGTCGGGGAGCTGGGCCCCAAAATGCCCCACTGTAGCCACGGGCCTGGGCTGTTCACAACACCTCATCTGTACCGGAGAGGCCGGGGGTTGAACCTGGAACCTCCTGCATGCCAAGCGGAGGCTCTGCCACTGAGCCACAGCCCCTCTCCTTCCATTTCGGCAATAGGAAGGACCTGGGCCTCCGTAGCTCCCTCCCGCAAAGGAGTCGAGAATCACCACGCCCCTCCCCCAGCGGCCGGGTCCTCTGTCCCCGGGCCCCTCAGTGCTCCCCACTAAACCTCCCTGCCTTCCTTAGGTCACCTACCAGCTGAAGATCCTCACCACCGCCGTCTTCTCCGTGCTGATGCTGCGCAAGAGCCTCTCCCGCCTCCAGTGGCTGTCCCTCGTCCTCCTCTTTGCCGGCGTGGCCATCGTCCAGGTGGAACAGCAGCAGGCGGGGAGCAAGCCGACGCCCGGGGGCCTGGAAGCCCAGCAGAGCTACCCGGTGGGCCTGGCGGCCGTGGTGGTGTCGTGCCTCTCGTCCGGCTTCGCCGGGGTCTACTTCGAGAAGATCCTCAAGGGCAGCGCCGCCTCCGTCTGGCTGCGCAATGTCCAGCTGGGCATCTTCGGGACCCTGCTAGGGCTGCTGGGCCTGTGGTCCACAGAGGGGCCGGCCGTGGCCCAGCGCGGATTCTTCTTCGGCTACACCCCGCTGGTGTGGGGCGTGATCCTGAACCAGGCCTTCGGCGGGCTGCTGGTGGCCCTGGTGGTGAAATACGCCGACAACATCCTCAAGGGCTTTGCCACGTCCTTCTCCATCGTGGTGTCCACCGTGGCGTCCATCTACCTCTTTGACTTCCACCTCAACCTGCTCTTCGCACTGGGAGCAGGGCTGGTGATAGGGGCCGTCTACCTGTACAGCCTGCCGAAGGGCCCGTCGGCCGGCCGGCCCTCCCTGGGAACTGACGGGCAGCAGCCGGGTCACGCCGCCCAGTGCAAGGAACTCCCTTCCGTGGCCACGCAAGGCTTCCTGACCAAGTCAGTGCTGGTCAATTGAAGAGAACAGAGCGGCACCCCCTTCCCGGCGGCCAGCTCGGTTTCTCGCGGAGCTTCCCCAACACCGTGCCCCTTTCCCGCCCATCCTCTCCTCATGCCTTTCCAGTTCTCCCAGCCTGTATCCACCTCAGCTCCTTCCCGGCCTTACCATCTCCGTTTCTCGCCTCCGAGCTGCCCCGAGCGCACCTTTCCCCCCTTTCCTTCCCCTCAGTCTGTTCCCTTGCCTCCCGTTAACTGGTCTCCATTTGGCACTGCGGCCTGAAACCCTTTTTTCCCCAGTCACTTCCCCCCCGTGCCGGCCAAAACTCTCCCAACGTCTCCCCGGCTTCTGCAGCTCACTGTCTAAGGACATCCCACCCTTTCCGTCACACCCCAGCAGGATTTGGGGGGGGGGGGGGAGGGGAGCGTGTCACCTGTGACCTCCCCTCCCCCCCGACCTCCCAGTCTCCCTCTTGTTTCATCAGGAGGTAGCAAGTTTTCAAAGAAGTGTTATTTTTGTACAAACGACAGAAACCAAACGGAGGGGCAGAAGGCGAGGGCGCACGCACGGCCGTGGAGATAGCCCGGGAGAGGTGGCTCACGTCGGCCATTTTGGAGCATACCTTTTTTCCCCCTCCCCTTTTCAAGTGCCACCTTTGGGGAAGTGACGGGAATGTTATTTATTTTCGTTGGGGAACGCCGGAGGCTGATCTGCTGTGAAGGATACAGACAAAACCGCACACGGGGGGCGGGGGGGGGCCCTGAGCGGGCAAGGCCACGTTTCTGAGAGAGGCGGACAGAGAAGGCAGGCCGCTTGAGGAATAAGTCTGCTGAATGTCGGCGTCCTTTTCGGCAAGCCTTCCTCGGAACCGGCAAGGTGTCTTTTTGTGGGCCGGGGGCCAGGAGGCCCAGTGACCAGAGCCGAGCCAATTCACCTCAGATGGAAACGGGAAAAGGGCACTGCTTGGCAGGGATGTGGTAGGCTCGGTTGTGTGGGGGGGGGCGGTCAGAGGACCTCGTGGGGAGGTCCAGCAGAGCCGCAGCCGGTCTCTGGGCGTGTGTCATTCCTCTGTCCCCCCCCCCCCAAGTGTGTTTTGGAGGCTCACTGGATGAATGGAGGGGCCGGGACCGGGGGGGCACAGATTGCTAGCTGCTAATGAAGACGTCACTGCATCGCAAGCCGCTTGGCCTCCTTGAACTTAGACGTTTGGCTGGAAATCTCAACAATCATGTTAGCGGGGTGGTGGTGGTGTTTGGGCAAATGTGGACAGTACTTAAGACAGCCTGATGCTGGAGGCCGAAGCAGGACAGAACATTCGTTTAACTGTTGCACCCTTCGGTTGCTGCTTAGTGTGTGTGTGTGTGCGTGCGCGGGGGGGGGATAGTTTGGACCCGAGTCTTGTGCTTTGTGGGTCCCCCCCCCCCCGGGGTATGGGCAGCCCGGCTGGAATGCGGCCCTCCCCACTCCCCGCACACCTTAACCTTGTGTTCCTCCAGGGGCTTGGGAAAGACCAGCGTTTGCCGCCAGAGGCGACGGCCGCAGAAGGCAATTCCGTAAACCCCTTGTGAGTCACCCTTCTTAGATGGATCGGCTGTTGTCAGTAACTGAACTCTGGGCAGTTCGTGACGTCTGTGGCGGTGCTCGCCGCCGTGCCTCAGTTTCCCCGTCCTTCTGGGGGCGGGGCTCGACAGGGCCGGGCGGGGCTTAGGTATTACGCATTTCGTGCCAGATCGGAAAACACTAACCGTGGGTGTGGGATCACGTCAGGAGAGCAGGGTGGGTTTCGGTCTGCTGTTTGGAACGGACGGGGCAGGGGGGGGGGACGCGAGGAATAATCACACAGTCACACAGTGTATATAGGGTTTTTAGACCGCCGACCGTTTTCTACGATTCCTGCTTTTTTAAAGGGGCGGGGGGCGGGCGGGTCGGAAAGCCTGTGCTCTTCGCCAATGTACATAAACCACAGATGAATAAAGAGAGTGTATTTATTTAGCCTTCTCGCCTACTGTTTCGGGAGGCCTTGAAAAGCGCAGGTCTTTCGCTTCACTCACTGCACGAACGGGGGGGGGGGGGGGCTCTGCTTGGAGGCTTAGGGCATCCGCAAGGCAAACAGACAGAGGGAGGGTTTAGTTTCTGAGGCCTAGCCTAGATCCCCTTTTCGCTGCAGGGACTTAGCAGTGGTGGGGCACGTGGAAAGGGGGGGGGCGTGGAGGGGGGGAGTCAGGCTGATTTTCCTTCATCAGGCAGAGTGGCCACAGCTAGCCCCCGCTTAGCAAAGGAGGAATAGAGAAAAGACACCTTAGTGGACTGTAGGAGCGAGATCCGAATCCAGTACCACCTTAGAGACCAAGGAGATTTCCGGGGCGTAAGCTTCCAAGAGTCAAAGCTCCCTTCGTCAGACAGAAGATGGAATTGAGATCTCTCAATCATATCCTAGTCTGAAGGGGGGGGGGCTGCCACAGAGGAACTTGGGATGCAGAGGTTCTGTGCAAGGTGCCATCGGCCTGATTGGAGCAGAGGGGGGACGCGTAGTGCCTCTGCATGCGGAGTTCCTTCTCTCCAACATCCTTCCCACCTTCGGACTGGGATGTAAGGACTCAGGTCTCCATTAAGAACGCAAGAGAAGCCCATGTTGGATCAGGCCAGTGGCCCCTCCCGTCCAACACTCTGTGTCACACAGCGGCCAAAGCCCAGGGGCCATCAGGAGGTCCACCAGCGGGGCCAGAACTCCAGAAGGCCCCCCCCCACTGTTGCCCCCCCCAAGCACCAAGAAGACAGAGCATCCCTTCCCCAGACAGAGCGTTCCCTCTATACCTTGTAGCGAAGAGCCACTGATGGACCTCTGCTCCAGATGTTTCTCCAGTCCCCTCTTGAAACTGTCTGTGCTTGTGGCCGCCACCACTTCCTGCGTCAGTGGATTCCACATTCTGTATCTGGCAAAGGGAACCTCGACCCTCAAAAGTGTATACCCTGAAAATCGGGTCCCCAACACGGTGCCCTTGGGCGCCATGGCACCCGCCAACACCTTTCCAGGCACCCGTCAAGTGTTTTTGTTAAGTGAGCGGGGCCGGACGAGGCTTTTGCCCACCAGGGCTTCTGACTGGCTATGCCGGTGAAAAGACATCCCATTAAACAGCTTCTGCCCGAAATGTAAAGAGTCACTACTAAGAGTCACGCATATAACCTTGTTCCCTGCCATTTTGTGGTTGGCGCCTGCTCCTGCAGCAGCCGTTTTGTGCTGATCCCCACCCTGTGAACAATTCCAGAGGTGCCCACAGGCTCAAAAAGTTCGGGGACCTCTGCTGAAAACCTGGCTGGTTTCTAAGATGCTGCTGGACTCGAATCCAGCTCTCCTCCAACAGACCTACACAGCTACCCCCCTGAAGTGTAGTTGACAGAGTAAACCAATCTGCATGCCTTTGCACCCGAGAGCCTTCATTTATGCGTCATGCGCACACGTGGCGGAGAATAGCAGTTCTGAGGCACTGCGTAGCTGCTGTGGTTTTTGCAAGTGTTAAAACGTCATTGCTTTCACCCCGACCTGGATAGCCCAGGCAAGCCTGATCTCACAAGATCTCGGAAGCCAAGCAGGGCCGACCCTGGCAAGTATTTGGATGGGAGACCTCCAAGGAATGCCAGGGCCGGGATGCCGGTGGCTATCAAGCCACTTCTCCGAACATCCTCCGTGCCTCAGTAGGAGTTGCCAGAGGTCGCCATGACTTCCAGGCATGGGCACACGCACACACTCAAAATGCAAAAATACCCCCAGAAGTTGTTTTTTAAATGGACTCAATTTGTTGGATCCAAAGGTCGTCTAGAGCCGATGGAAGATGTTTCCACCGGCAGAGGGGGGAATGGTCATTTTTGGCCAGTTTATCCCTTTCCTCTGCAGACCCCCTTGCCCTTCTGTGTGTGTGTGTGTGGGGGGGGGGTTCTCTTGTCTTCCAGAGCAGCCGGGGGGAGTCTGGGAAGATGGTTCCGTCTGCAGAGCCCCGTGGATGGTACTTCCGACCAGGACTTTTTTTGTAGAAACAGCCCAGCAGGAACTCATTAGCATAATAGGCCACACCCAAGAGCAGGAACGTGTTAGCATATTAGGCCACACCCCTGACAGCGCAGCTCATTAGCACATTAGGCCGCACCCCCATGTTACCAGAAGTGTGGTTATCCAGCCACACCCACCTTTTGCTTCTTATTCTGTTTAGCTTGTTTGTTGTCAAAACCCAGGGCCTTTTTTTGGAGCAGGGACTCCTTTGCATGTTAGGCCACACACCCCTAATGTAGCCAATCCTAATGAGTTTCTGCTCTTGGGTGTGGCCTATTATGCTAATGAGTTCCTGCTGGGCGTGGCCAACTCAGGAGCCAGCCGGAACTCCGTTCCTGTGCGTTCCTGCCCAAAAATAGCCCTGCTTCCGACCCAACCCACTGTCTTGACTCAAAACTGAGTACTTGAATATTTTTAGCCAGTGTCTTTTTCCTAGAAGAACCCGGGACCCAAAGCAGGGTGAGTGAACATGACGTTTCCATGGACCTTCCCCCTTCCAGAGCAGAAGGGTTCACCTAGCAACCCCATCTTGTAAGTACAAGTGTAAGTGTACACCTGTGAAATACGCACACTGCTACATTACGTCTTTCCTTCCACGCCCCCTACCTACCCGAGTCCATAACCCACTCTCCAGCTAGCTAATATCGCTTAACCTTCTTGAATTCCACTGTGGTGCTAGTGGTTGGTGTCCGACTCGGATCTGGGAGACCCGAGTTCGAAGTCTCCCTCGTGCCATGGAAGCTTGCTGGGTGACCTTGGGCCAGTCACACACTCTCAGGCTAACTTACCTCACAGGTTCGTTGTGAAAAAAAAAAGGGAGGAGGGGAGAAGCCAGTTTCGGGAGGAAATCAATGAAGTAAAAATAAAAATAAGCAAAGGGAACTGTTGCTTGAAGTAACAGGCCTTAATGCGGGAGCCTAAGGATGACACGGTGTGTGAGCAAACAGCGCCAGCGGGCACCATCAGCAGCGAATAGTGGCATTTGGGCAGATGCTTGGAGTGAAAGCACAACTGTGTTACCACGGGGTGTGTGTGTGTGTGTGTGCAGCATTGTGGGAGAGTCTGTTCCTGGGGGCAATGCTGTCCAGTTCTTGGATGGAGAACGAGAGGTTGGAGAGATTGTCTGGCCGCTAGGAACCGCATGCTGATAGGCAGGTCCCAGGTCGCATTCCAGATGCGAACGAACTGAATTCCAGAAGGCCCTTAAAAGGCGAATCCGATTTTATCCCACTTGAAGCTTTCCTGGCCACTTCGCCAGCTGCACGCAGGGCAGAGGTGTCCAAAACTCATTTGCGTTGAGGGCCGGGTCTGACAGAAACGACTGTTTGTCGGGCCGAGCCACATGTGCCATAAAACGTAATGCCAGGTAAAGGTAAAGGTTCCCTTGCTCGAAAGCCAGTCGAATCCGACTCTAGAGTTGGGGTGCTCATCTCCGTTTCAGCGCTGTCCGAAGACGTTTCCGTGGTCATGTGGCCGGCATGACTAAACACCAAGGCGCACGGAACACTGTTCCCTTCCCACCGAAGTGGTACCTATTTATCTACTTGCAATTTCCTGCTTTCGAACTGCTAGGTTGGCAGGAGCTGGGGCCAGAGACGGGAGCTCACTCCGTCATGTGGCACACCCGGGTCTCGAACTGCTGAACTACTGACCTTCCACAGCCTGCAGTTCAGCTTCTTAACCACTTGAGATATAAACTTTATAAAGGACGCAGGCAAACTCGGTTAATGATATTATTTTTTATTCAAAATACAAAGAGAAGCAATCGATTCCTAGCAGTGAAAGCAACTGATTTGCTGGGGAATCCACAAAAGCCTGGCTGTCCCAGATACCCCCAGCCCCCCAGTTCTCACCCCCCCCCCGCATTTCCCATAGAAGCGGCGGGTGTGAAGGGAAGGCCTGACAGAGTGGCTGTTTCCAAAATCTCCAGGGGGTGCTTTTTGTTCTCCCATGACCCTTTCCCCCTCATGGGCTGAGAACACCACTAGCTGCTCGCAGGCTGGATAAGAGCCCCGGATGGGCCAGTTCTGGCCCGCGGGCCGTATGTTTGACACCCCATGATGTAAGGGGTCCTCGGTAGGCAGGCGTTTATAACCCGGCTCCCAAGAAGGATTTCCATGGATGGGGAAATGGAGTTGGGCTGGTTTGTTGCATACCTCTTGAGTCCCCTCTCATGCCGTTCCTGGGGTCCTCTGTCCACCCCGGAGGGACATTTCGGGCTGCAGCCAGAGAGGGGAGGCAGGGGAGGTCTGCTCTGCGAACGGGGATCCCCTTCCGTTTGCAGAAATAGCTAGAACAGGCGACCTCAAAAAATGCTGGAAGCACAGGACGCTGGGCTGCCAACCTCCAGGTGGCAGCTGGAGCTCTCCCGCTATTCCAGCTCATCTCCAGGCAACAGAGATCAGTCCCCCTGGAGAAAATGGCTGCTTTTGGAAGGTGGACTCTATGGCCATTGGACCCCACTGAGGTCCTCGTCCTCCCCAAACCCCGCCCTCCTCAGGCTCCACCCCCAAAATCTCCAGGCCTTTCCCAACCCGGAGCTGGCAACCCTGACAGGATGAGATGTTATTAGCAGACTTCAAATGCCACCCAGAAAAATACAGAGACCATTCATAACCGCTGAAGTTGGGAATGCTCCTGGTTTTGATCAACTAGTTAACACCTGTGATGGTTGAGGAATAGTCTCCCAGTTTACTAAGACATTTATAACACTTGTAATGACTAACTCAACCCCTGCTCAGCTCTGGGGGAGGACGGTGCCGGCGTCAAATCTCCTGATTAATTCTAATTCAATAGTTTCACATTGGAGTCTGCCTTTGAAGTTCTTTTGCTGGAGAATGGTGTTTTTTTTAAGATCGGCAAGGGTTCCCAAGATGGTGCCCGCCAAATGTTTATAGAAAGGGGTGAGGCA